ATCTCCACCCAAAACATATCTCAGTTTTGCTCAGATTCTGTCTAGTTAAATCACACGTTGACTTCTTATATCTCTTGGAGACTCAAGTGGCAAAATGTCTCCTGTGGAAATGTTAGTTTTGCCAATTGTAATGGGGATTGCAAAAGCAGATGATGTTTCCATTCTCCACTTATGGAATCTCCATTGTACAAAGATAAAACAAGGAATTAGGGAGCCCTTGTGCAAGGAAATGACCTTTATTATGGCCTTGTGGGATCACATGGAGACACCTACTATGCGGGGAAATTTTAGTTTGGCCCAATTGCAATAGGGATTGCAAAACCAGATGATGTTTCCACTCTACACTGATGGAATCTCCATTGTACAGAGATAAAAGAAATAATTGTGGAGCCCATGTGCAAGGATTTCACCTTTGTTATGACCTTCTGGGATCACATTTAGAGACCTACTATGCGGGGACATTTTAGTATGGCACAATCGTAAGGGGATTGCAAAACCAGATGATGGTTGCACTCTCCACTGATGGAATCTCCATTGTACAGAAATAAAACAAATAACCGGGATGCCCATGTACACGAACCTGACCTTTGTTATGGCCTAATGGGATCACATGGAGACACCTACTAAGTGGGGAAATTTTAGTTAGGCCCAATTGTAATGGGCATTTCAAAATCAGATGATGGTTCTACTCTCCACTGATGGAATCTCCATTGTACAGAGATAAAACAAATAATTGGGGAACCCTTGTGCAAGGATCTGACCTTTGTTATGGTCTCATGGGATCATATGGAGATACTTACTACTGCAGGAACATGTTGCTACTAGTGTCTCCAAGATAGGCAACACAGTAGGTAAATAAAATCATAGTTGCCAATGTTCTGGCGAAGTATGCCCAGTAACTTAAAACTGTATTTATAATATATAACATGGGTTAAACCTGCATAAAAATCAGACTGTGGTTTAGTCCTTTACATTGTTACCATGCAGTGCTGAGGAACCTAATTATATTTTTGCCAGAGACACTGCCAGCATGGGGTATTTATGTTTTTCCTCTGAATATCCCTATTGCCACCCTCCCTGTAAGAACATAGTGACAGATTTATTGAGTACCACCAAAACCAATCACCGCACATATGTGTCTACATGACAGTGGTAGGGACTTTGTAAGCATCCTGAGGGCAGCAACAGATATAAATTGCTCTATGTACTCTGTAATTTATCCGTGCAGAGACCAATTATATTTGACAATTTGTGCAACAGAGACTTCTCTTTCTAAGAGAGAAATAAATAATATAGGTTATATTTGCTGATTGGCAGGGTGCATGCTGGAGTTTTCTTTTGTGAATGTGTGCTTTTACTGGATATACCTCTTACTGGGATTTATAGAAGTCCTACTACACTTTTTGCTGCTGTCCCCCCAGGTGACAAAATGCATGTAGCACTTAGTCTAATCTTTCTAGCTTGTCTCATTACTGAAATAGTGTGGTCAACAGTACCCTCTACCCTCTTCCCCCCACCGCCCTCCAACCATGTATCTAGCAAGGATACTAGTATATAAATAACTGTTATCTCTTGAACCAGGCTTTTCCCCAAGACAGACAGTTTGTATAAATTTACCTGTTGCACACCATCTTTTTATAGGATGCTAGCAGGGTCGGACTGACAACTCATGGGGCCTCCAGACAATAGGGGATCCTGGGGCCCCTGTGTTCTTGCCCACACTCAAAAAAGCCTCCAGGGTGTCACCCATCCTCTGGAACTTCTCCATCACATCCAACAACGCCACCATCAAACCCGCCCCGCAGGCCAGAGTTCTTGGTGTCATTCTGGACTCCAACCTATCCTTCCAGCCACAAGTCCAATCTTTAACAAACTCGTGCAGACTCCACCTCTGCAACATCGCCAAAATACGCACGTTCCTAACTCCAGAAACCATTAAACAGCTCATCCACTCCCTCGACTCAACTACTGCAACTCCCTCCTCACTGGCCTGCCTCGCCGCTGGCTATCCCCGCTTCAGTCCATCCTGAATACGTCTGCCAGACTCATTCACCTTTCTAACCGCTCCGTTTCCGCCACCCCCCTCTGCCATTCCCTCCACTGGCTTCCGATTGCGCAACGGATCAAATTCAAAATCCTAACACTGATGTACAAAGCTGTCCACCATACTGCCCCGAACTACATCTCTGACCTAATATCCAAGTACCGCCCAGCACGCACACTCCGCTCCTCACAAGACCTCCTTCTCTCTAGTTCCCTGGTCTCCTCCCATGCCCGCCTCCAGGACTTCACCAGGGTGTCACCCATCCTCTGGAACTCCCTGCCCCAACCAATGAGATTATCACCTACTCTCCTCTCCTTTAGGCGCACCCTGAAAACCCATCTCTTCAGGGAAGCCTACGCCACCCCCTGCTAACTTGCCGACCTCCTCCACTCTTCCTACCACTCCATCCCCCACAGCTATCTCCTCCTGTGCCACTATCCCCTCCCTCCTAGATTGTAAGCTCGAAAGAGCAGGGCCCTCGATCCCCTCATGTTTTGCATTGTATTGTTATTGTTCTGTCACATGTTCTGTCCCCCTTTGTAATGTACAGCGCTGAGCTAACTATTGGCACTTTATAAATACTGTATAATAATAATAATAAAAAAGGTACCAGGGGCATTTCATGGGGCCCCCTACTGACCCCGGGCCCTCGGGCACTGCCTGAGTGCTCTAATGGTCAGTCCGCCCGTGGTTGCTAGGATGTAGGCAGCAACTACACTATAATAGCTAGTATCACTGTATGGCTGACCACCTGCACCCTAGCAACCAAGGATGCTAGGTGGCACAAGTCACCTCCTTCCTAGCAACCAAGGACACTAGTTGACAGGGGTCTCTTGTGTCCCAGCAACCAAGGACACTAGGCTGCAAGGAAGTAAAAAAAACAAAAGGGGGTGTAACAAGGGAAGTAGGTAGGGGTCCTCTAGCTGACACACCCCTCTTCCAGGCACACTCACTATATAGGGGGTGGTAGCAACTGAACACAACATTAGTAATGCCCACAAACCAGGCTTCTATCAGGAGAGGAGGGATTATCTTCAAATTTCAATGCCTTTTAATTGGAAAAACCAGTACAGATATTTAGACGTTAATATATGGACCTGTATTTAATTTTTGCAATGCTTATGAGAGCTATTCCTTTACTTGACTAAGCAGCTGCTGTTAGTTGAAACTATATACAGTACATGAATAAGATAATACTTTAGTATATAGCATATCGTTGAAAGTTAGCATTTCTTTTGAAGAGTAATTTTCCAATTAAGATCTTGGTCCCATGATGGTTGGAAAGGTCTTTATAACAGGACTGGTAAGTCTGCGGCACTTGCAGTCTATTGGCAGATTTCTCCTACACAGGGGCGGACTGACAACTCATGGGGCCCCCGGTCAATAGGAGATCATGGGGCCTCTGTGTCCTCGCCTACACTCAAACCACACCCAAAAAAGCTTATGAAAGGTACCAGGGGCATCTCATGGGGCCCCCTACTGACCCCGGGCAGTGCCCGAGTTCCCAAATGGTCAGTCTGTCCCTGCTCCTACATATATAAGTACCTGAAATAAATAAAAAGAAAAAATAAATAAATACATTGACAGATGCTTGTTTTTGCACCAAGTTGCCAGAAGGGGACTTTCTTATTTTTCAAGATTGCACCAAGATTACAGAAGTGTCTTTTTGTTTGGGATAACAATTTCTATAGCATTGTTTATGGCCATAAATACAAATGTCTGCGGGTTTAAGCTATTACAGTATGTGGTGAATTTGGCATACAGCTTCTTCAACACATTTAGACGATGAATTCACTACACTGGTTTACCAATGGTTGACTGATTGCTGAGATGCATCTGAGAGATAAATGAAATGCTACAGAGATGGAGTCATTAGAAGCATATATCATGAATACAGTTGTTTCCTATATTGTTTTTGGAGTAAATATATTTGTGGATTGGCTACCATGTTCTTATTAATGACTGTGACTTTATTGCTATTTATTTATCTATTTATATGGAACTGGCATATTCTGTAGTGCTTTATAAAACAATGTAACGATACATCAGTTATTGCCCCAGTGTGTATTACTGGGTAATAATTCTAGTACATCTGTCTGGTATATCAAGGGTCAACAAAGCATATTCATTGGGAAGAGCATGACTTCACTGCCTCCCATGGCACTGGGCGGGGAGGATCGTCCTAACAGCCATGCCATCTCTACAATACATCAGGACAGATTTTAGGAAGCTGTGGTTTTTGACAGAAAGGGAGCCTTGGATGGTGGGTCAGTTTAGCACACCAGGGGCGGACTGACCATTTGGAAACTCTGGCACTGCCCGAGGGCCCAGGGTCAGTAGGGGGCCCAATGAGATACCCCTGGTACCTTTTTCATAGACTTTTTTGAGGTTGGGCAAGGACACAGGGGCCCCATGATCCCCTATTGCCCGGGGCTCCATGAGTTGTCAGTCCGCCCCTGTAGCACACTATGCAGTTATAGCCAAATGGGACAGCATAGTGTTCTTTTTGTAAAGCTGAACTTATGCTTTAAGTTCATATAGAGTCCAATAAACTTACCAACATTTTTACAGTTGGGAGAAAATTCAGATTACGTAACTGGAGCAGCCATATTTGTTCATGCAAGCTCTGCTCCCTGCTTTGTGGTGCTAGGGTAGATTTACTACACACTGGGGTGGATTTACTAAAGGCAAATGGACTGTGCGCTTTGGAAGTGCAATTGCACTCTGCATGTACAGCTGCTCCAGAGCATACCCAATTACATGCAAAAGAAAATACAAAAAACAGCAATTTTGCTTTCACATGATGCAATGATGGTAGTCAGCAGAGTTTCCCCTCATTTACTAAGCTCTGGAGCAGGAGCTGACTGACTTTTTGGAAACTCGGGCACTGCCCGAGGGCCCGGGGTCAGTAGTGGGCCCCTTGAGATGCCCCTGGTACCTTTTTCATAGGCTTTTTTGAGTGTTGGTAGCAGGGGCGGACTGACAACTCATGGGGCCCCCGGGCAATAGGGGATCATGGGGCCCCTGTGTCCTTGCCAAAACTCAAAAAAGCCTATGAAAAATGTACCAGGGGCATCTCATGGGGCCCCCTACCGACCCTGGGCCCTCGGGCAGTGCCCGAGTTTCCAAATGGTCAGTCCACCCCTGGTTGGTAGGGACACAGGGGCCCCAGGATCCCCTAGTGCCCGGGGGCCCCATGAGTTGTCAGTCTGCCCCTGCTCTGGAGCAAATGCCCTTGTAAAGTGCACAGTCTGTTTTATTTTAGTAAATCAACACCAATGGTCATGGTTTACTTCTCCTTCTCACAAGTGAAGCACAACCATTGTATGATTCGGTGACTCAGCCAGCATAATGCATGGACATCAGTCATTTTTGTAGAGTCTGTTCCATGCATTGCAGTAAAGTTCTGCATGCTTCACTTGTGCAAGGGCCTGCAGTTTGGCCAGTTAAGTCAATTCAAATAGAGTCTTGCAAAAACACGAAGGGTTGATTTACTAAATCTGGTGCAAATGAGAGGGTGCAAAATCTGGTGCAGATCTGCATAGGAATCAATCAGCTTCCATTTTTTTTGTCCAAGCTCAATTGAACAAGCTGAATTTAGAAGCTGATTGGCTAGCACAGCTGCACCAGATTTTGCACTCTCTCATGTAATATGTTCTGGTGGGAATAGTCGGTTGACTAATTAAACACAATGAAAAAAGGCACAGAAGAGCAAGAATATAAAAATATGAAAGCCACATCAAACATATACATTTATTAAGTTAAAGCTATTATTGCAAACATAAGTGGTTAGCATTCCCGCCTAGCAGCACTAGGGTTGTTGGTTCGAATCCCAACCATGACACTACCTGCCTGAAGTTTGCATGCTCTCCCTGCGTCTGTGTGGGTTTCCTCCGGGTACTCTGGTTTCCTTCCACACTTCATACCATGCTGGTAGGTTAATTGGCCCTAGTCTGTATGAATGTGGTGAGTTAGGAACCTTAGAGTATGCACTCCTTGAGGGCAGGGATTGATGTGAATGCTCAATATATGTAAAGCACTGCGTAAATTAACGGTGCTATATAAGTACCTGTAATAAAGAAATAATTAGGTGTTCTTGCATGGCAGACCACTTACTGTTATCTCACATATATATTCTTATTATTATAGCCAAATTTACCACCCTAACTCCTCCCACAGTTTTTACACTACATAGACAGTAATATACCGAAACATGCGGATTGTTCCCGATTGGTGTACTATTACTTGTGGAACGTTTCGCCGAATGGTTCACGAAATATCAGCGTTTTTGTGGTGAAATTGGTCCCATAGGAATGAATGGCGGAATGTTCAAAACTAGAGTGGGAGCTGACAAAAGCTAGAGTGTGAGCTGAAAAATCAGGACATGATTTCTAAACTGCCACCACTCCCTCATTTTCAAGCCCACCTACACAAATCTTATATCAAAACGTTCAGCTATCCCTGCTGCCACTAAAAATGTCCACGGCTAAGCCATAGTCCCGATAGTTTTCACAATATGACCATTTGTTTGCAACTCATGACATTCATTGAAACTCCACTCTAGACACCTCAAATTTGAAGGGCAATTTCTAAACTGCGACTGTGCCTTTATTTTTAATATTTCAGAGACATACTATGCATCAAATTGTAGGTCTGGGTCTTGTGATTCTCGCAATTCTCTTTGGTGTAGGATTTATAATTTTTAAACTACATCTGTTTGAATATGACAACCGCCAGTGAAGTGAGCAAGTTGGAGCAGTTTGTTTTTAACTGCTCTTCTCTGCCCTTGCTGTAGAGTGAGTTGCCATAGGAACCCAGATGTGTGAGCAGGTAAGAACACTTCACACAATTTCCCCAGAAATTGTAGCTTTTCTAGTTCAAAATATGCTCTCCTTGAAAATTCGATATGCTTTCCCTTGAAACCAGTGATGGACAAATGAATGGTGAATCCTGATGATGGTTAGTTCAATCTAGTAGGCAGCAAGCACTTATTAAAGTGATAGGCAGGCCATGGATTACTTGATTTTCTTTCTTGCAAACACAGGAAAGAAAAATTGCTTGACTCCCCCCCATCAACACAGTCATTGCTGATGGGGGAATCCCTCCCGTAGAGCTAATGTATTCTCCTGATGGGGAGGGGGGACGGAGTCATCCCTGGCAGGAAAATACAGTGATTATTGCTAGCAGCTATAGCCACTGGCAATAGTCGCATGACAAATCCAACATACCCAAGTCATACAACAATCAGCTTGGGTACAATCAGCCTACCCAGAGATGGTTCTAATCTCAGCCAGTCCCTATTGAACTGGTCGTGATTCAAACAATCTCTGGTTTTAGTCTATACATTTTTTTTCTCTAGACTTTCTTAGAAAAAATTAATTTGAAAGATATTTGATGGAGGGGGTGCAGAGAGCCGTCCCTACCAGGAGAACACAGTGATTATTGCTAGCGGCTATAGCTGCTGGCAATAATTGCATGGTAGAAATCCAACATGCTGGTTGTACCCAAGTCGATTGATGGATTGACTTGGGCACAATCACCCTGCTCATCCATAGTTCAAATCTTGGCCAGTCTCTGCTGAACCGGCCGAAATTCAAACCTTCTATGGCTGGCTTTATAGAACAAGTGCATCCATTAACAGAAACATGAAAAAAGCTCAACAGGTGCCAACTCCAGACCTTGAGGTGGTTTCTATGCTCTTGGGACTTGCTCAACTACACTGTATTAAAGAAAATCATATGTTACCTTCGCTATCATAAAGCAGATACCAGAATAAATGATACAAATGTGCCTTGCAATAATTATAAAATGGTGTAGTGTCATTCAAAGTTCTGCAGGAACCAATGACAATACACTAGTAGACAGCTTCAAGAGTAAGTAAGATAGTAAGAACCTACCATCCCCCTTGAACACCATAACAAAAGGCCTTTTTATCTGAGCAAGTACTCTTTTGTGATAGAAGAATAATGGAGCAAATGTCAAAAGGTCCTTGTTTATTTGTTATGTAGATTGGGGTCAGTGCTCCTTTGTGCAACTTTGTCTCAATGTGAAATGTCCTCTCCCTCCTATGGTAGCTTCTTCAATTTGCCACAAACTAGAATTGTTATAACCAAATTACATTTGATGGGCTTCACTTGAGACAAAAGGCAACTGACAAAGATGGCAGGAAAAAAACTGAAGTTGATCATGGTGGAACACAGAATGTAAATTGTGGAGGGGTGCTTCTATATTTGCATTCACATTTTGTTTTACCGTGTCCTTTGAGGGGATCAAAGTCATATTAGACTACAAATTAGTGATTTTTATGTCTGCTCTTGCTGAGTATTCTCATGTATTAGAAGTGCTTTGTATTCCACATAAATTAGTTGCTAAGCCAAGCAAGAACTTTGATATTTACCATGATAAAACCACATATATTGAATTGTTTTACAATGACCACCTTAGCAACTGAGCAGAATAGAGTTCTCTATTCAGGCTTTTCTTGTCAGTATTTCTCTTTAAGCATGTCTTAACCTATACTGTTATGTATTTTGTTAGACTAAATATTCATTTGATTTTGTATGTATTTCTCAGAATTTCAGTTTAAGTTATCTCTACTAAGATACAGTAAATAAAAATAATAGCCACAGACAATAATTTATTTTGGTCCTTTCTATTAACTAATTCCCTACTTTAAAGTACCAAAGGAGTTGTAGAATAGTGGATTCAGAACTCTGTTCACTTATATTATTTGCATTACCAAAGGCCTTGATCTGTGGGAAGTGGCATCTCTTTTAAAGCTGATTTACATACTGTAGAGCACCCCTGTAGGAGCCACTGGTGAATGCAGTCCTATTTCCCTACTTAGAGCACACATAGCCAGACACACAGTATTTCCTTCACTCCTCGACTAGTTCCTAGAAATGGTCTAGGGCAGGGGTACTCAATCCATGGCCGCGAAGCCCTCTGATGTGGCCCTGCAACCTCAAACCAAGGAAGTTTATGCCCATGCTCTGGGATGGTGGGTCTGCAAGGCCAGATCATGATCAACGGGTTGCCGACCTGCCATCCCAAAACTTCAGAGTGCATGGAGCCAACACCAGCAGGGGAGGAAGCACAGGGCAGTGTAGGGAGCAGGAGCTGCATTCCTCTGTAGCGCTGGCTCCTGTCCTAGGCGGAGTGACACCAAGTGCACTTCAAATGCAACATCTCCTGTGCTCAGGGACCCGGATCCGTAGAGGCCATTGGACCAATACTCTTGAAGAGTATGGAGATTTGCCCAGGACCAATCAACGGCTGTGCAGCTCAAACAAAAAGCTGGGGAAGCTCGATACAAACTGTAGTGAAGAACAAAAGACAGAGTGCACCAACCTTGCGCTTTACCTTAGTAAACAATTTATTGATTTATTGATTTAGGAGACATACTCACAAACATAGTAGTAAAACAAGCATGTAAAGTTCAAAATCAAACCACATGATAAGGAGACACGTGGACATCCCATTGGAAGGGGGAGTGACTCTGACACGTTTTGAAGGGGGATTCCTTCTTCGTCAGAGCTCAAGGTTGGTGCGCTCTGTCTTTTGTTCTTTACTACAGTTTATACCAAGTGCACTTCACCTGGGACCTTTCTAGAAGCCTAGAGAGTGATGCCAGCAGAAGCTGAAAGAAAAAAAATATCATGGTATTAAACACCCCATACACTGCACTTTTGCAATGGGCATATTAGCACTTATAAAAAAAAAGGTTATTAGGCTGCTTTCACACTGATCCATGGGTGCAGTGCTCCTGTGACGTTTCTGCATGTGAGCTGCACTGAGCCATAGACTTCTACTATATCCTGCAGGTTTTGTGCGCTTTCAGAGAGAGCACCACATCCACAAGATGTAATAGAAGTATATAGCTCAGCGCAGCTAACTCACAGGAAAGCCGCAGATTCACTGCATGACACCCATGGATCTGGTAAACTGCAGTGCATCAGTGTGAAAGCAGCCTTGCAGGGATCTCAGGACAGTAAGGGGTCTCAAAAGGTTGAGCATCCCTGGTCTATGGGATTTTTGGGGGCTTTTCATTGGAAACAATGAACTTGGATAGGGAGGGGCACAGAATACCCCAATAAACTGTAGTACTGAAAAGCTTGATGACTTCTCAACTTTCTGCACAGTACAGAAACGAATGTCCTGCAAGACCTCTATGCTGATGGTGACCTGTACTCCTTCCAGAGTTTAAAAGCTACACACAGTCACTAACTCTTCAGCACTGATGTCAATTA